TAAAGAGTCGTACTTTGTTCAGATTTAAGTATTGTATTTATTTTATTTCTTAATTTCTGGCGAACTTTCAAGACCAAGTCATGTTTAATTCCTATATAATTTCTGTTTAATTAATTTACCTCTTTTGAAATAATGGCCGCTTTTATTCAGTCGGAATGAGGCTAAACTCAAACCCCTTTTTATAAGTGCAACGAAACTGTTACGACGCTATTTCAACAATCGGTAAATGTCCTCATATTTTACTGCTTATAAAGATTCAAACGGTAGTATTTTATGCTACTATATTCTTATATTACGTTTCACACCAAATTGCTGACTGCAACTCAATGCCATTATATCTCAGTCATTTGTGACGCATCTACACAAATACATTTTAATTGATTTATGTTTAATCTTTTAATGTCATAGGTTTACCTTGATCGTTAGGTTGTATTTTTGAAACATTTAATTATAAGATTCCCGAGTTGTATTAATTCATTATCGCCAGTATCCATGGCACTTAATTGTATAGATGCTGTAAAATATCCCGTAATTTTCTGGTTAATTCGGTCTTCAGCGTGCATAATGGCTGTCTAGTGCGTGCATAATGGCTGTCTAGTGCGTGCATAATGGCTGTCTACTTCTAGTGCGTGCATAATGGCTGTCTACTTCTAGTGCGTGCATAATGGCTGTCTAGTGCGTGCATAATGGCTGTCTAGTGCGTGCATAATGGCTGTCTAGTGCGTGCATAATGGCTGTCTATACTGTGTTGTTTAGCACGTTATTAGAGGGTGTAAGGGGGTGTAACTTAGCACTTTAACAGTGGGAAGGGTGAGGACTGAGGAACAGTTACGTAGGATAGGAAGCAACGCCAAGCAGAAGCTTTGGTCTTTAGCCGCCGCCAGACTTCATGGTCCACTAGGTGACGCTTAATTCCTCTCCTACCACCGACCTGTGAAGCTTGAGATGGTACATGTGACATGCATGCTGAAAGAATTCGATATTGCCCAGATGTGATAAAGGATCATTCACGCTGTCACATATCCAGCAATACTTACGACGGGACTTTGGCTCAGATCCAGTCACCGTCATGATACTTCAAACATTCCTTAAAAACATCGACAGATCATGACTAGAACATGAACTTTTTATAAATTTCATATGATAACTATATGATATAGAAAGTGGTATTTTCTGAATAGATTCGTTTTTTGAGATAATCGATAGTTGTGTGTTGCTGAATATTTTCACCTCACCATTTAGAACCGCTCTGACATGGTTAGTACCTGGCACTTGTGTCAGTTGCTAACCATATGGGCGGTATTATACCAGGACATTATTTCATTTCATTAGTCCACTACCTCAGCTCCCTTCATCACCTAACGTTAACCTCTCATCATTTTATCTCACAACGGCTAGCTGCCAATATAAATATTAAACATGGAGCCTTGCACGTTCTGCATCAGATAACAACATAGGATTTATTATACATATTTATTTTACATATTAAGATTGGTCCAGTGCGTCGATAAAAATTAAAAGTGGTTTAAGCTAAAAACAGCCGGCATGTGATTGACATGACGAATGAAGAATTAAGGAAATACATTATTGCTTTTTGTTTATATGCCATGTTATTCTCGAAAACCATGATCATATCTTCTGGTTTGAAAGTACTGTGTTCTGATTGGCTGCAGTTTTAGAGGATTCTACTCCAATTGGTTGAGCAGCTGACGATTTTAACGATGAGTTGACAGAGTATTCTGGTCGGTATGTTCTGGTCGGCGAATTACCCATATATTCTTTGATATTGCTTTCTGTTTATACACGGCTTGTATACACGGTACGTCATCTGGTACGGTATTATCGTCATCTTGATTACTTCATTGAGGCCATGAAAGTAGTGATAATTGGCCCTTTTTATCATGCATTTTTTTTTAAATCAAAACAAAAATCATACAAGTGCCAAATTTTTTGAATATTAAATTGAGGAATTTTGCATCATCTACGGAAAGTATTTCCTTAAATATGTAATAACTTTGATGTTGACGTGCTGAAAAACCACCTTATATAGTTATATTGAAACTGCAGCATTGGATGTTTTGAGGCTTGCTTTAGAACCGTTAAGTATCTAGTTTCTGTAATTATATAGCGGTACTCCTTCAGGTCGTAACCAAAAGGAGGAGGGTACGGTCCCGTACATCACCCTTACCCCCTCGTATCTAGTAATAGTATGGGGGTCGTTATACTTCACGCTTACCCCCTCGTATCTAGTAATAGTATGGGGGCCGTTATACTCAACCCTTACCCCCTCGTATGTGGTATACGGTATGGGGGCCGTTATACTCCACCCTTACTCCCTCGTATCTAGTAATAGTATGGGGGCCGTTATACTCCACCCTTACCCTCTCGTATCTAGTAATAGTATGGGGGCCGTTATACTCCACCCTTACCCCCTCGTATCTAGTAATAGTATGGGGCCGTTATACTCCACCCTTACCCCCTCGTATCTAGTAATAGTATGGGGCCGTTATACTCCACCCTTACCCCCTCGTATCTAGTAATAGTATGGGGCCGTTATACTCCACCCTTACCCCCTCGTATCTAGTAATAGTATGGGGGTCGTTATACTCCACCCTTACCCCCTCGTATCTAGTAATAGTATGGGGGCCGTTATACTCCACCCTTACCCCCTCGTATCTAGTAATAGTATGGGGCCGTTATACTCCACCCTTACCCCCTCGTATCTAGTAATAGTATGGGGCCGTTATACTCCACCCTTACCCCCTCGTATCTAGTAATAGTATGGGGCCGTTATACTCCACCCTTACCCCCTCGTATCTAGTAATAGTATGGGGGTCGTTATACTCCACCCTTACCCCCTCGTATCTAGTAATAGTATGGGGGCCGTTATACTCCACCCTTACCCCCTCGTATCTAGTAATAGCTAATGGGGGCCGTTATACTTCACGCTTACCCCTTCGTATCTAATAATAGTATGAAGGTCGTTATACTCAACGCTTACCCCCTCGTATCTAATAATAGTATGGCCGGGGCCGTTATACTCCACGCTTACCCCCTCGTATCTAGTAATAGTATGGGGGCCGTTATACTCCACCCTTACCCCCTCGTATCTAATAATAGTATGGGGGCCGTTATACTCCACGCTTACCCCCTCATATCTAGTAATAGTATGGGGGCCGTTATACTTCACGCTTACCCCCTCGTATCTAGTAATAGTATGGGGTCCTGTATACTTCACGCTTACCCCCTCGTATCTAGTAATAGTATGGGGGCCGTTATACTCCACGCTTACCCCCTCGTATCTAGTAATAGTATGGGGGCCGTTATACTTCACGCTTACCCCCTCGTATCTAGTAATAGTATGGGGGCCGTTATACTCCACCCTTAGCCCCTCGTATGTGGTATACGGTATGGGGGCCTTTATACTTCACGCTTGCCCCCTCGTATCTAGTAATAGTATGGGGGCCGTTATACTCCACGCTTACCCCCTCATATCTAGTAATAGTATGGGGGCCGTTATACTCCACCCTTACCCCCTCGTATCTAGTGATAGTATGGGGTCCTTTATACTTCACGCTTACCCCCTCGTATCTAGTAATAGTATGGGGGCCGTTATACTTCACGCTTACCCCCTCGTATCTAGTAATAGTATTGGGGCCGTTATACTCCACCCTTAGCCCCTCGTATGTGGTATACGGTATGGGGGCCTTTATACTTCACGCTTGCCCCCTCGTATCCGTTATACTCCACCCTTACCCCCTCGTATCTAGTGATAGTATGGGGTCCTTTATACTTCACGCTTACCCCCTCGTATCTAGTAATAGTATGGGGGGCCGTTATACTTCACGCTTACCCCCTCGTATCTAGTAATAGTATGGGGGCCGTTATACTCCACCCTTACCCCCTCGTATCTAGTAATAGTATGGGGGCCGTTATACTCCACCCTTACCCCCTCGTATCTAGTAATAGTATGGGGCCGTTATACTCCACCCTTACCCCCTCGTATCTAGTAATAGTATGGGGGGCCGTTATACTTCACGCTTACCCCCTCGTATCTAGTAATAGTATGGGGGCCGTTATACTTCACGCTTGCCCCCTCGTATGTGGTATACGGTATGGGTGTCCGTCAATAATTTAATACTGTGATGAAATAATAAAAATTTACCTGCACATGGTTATAGGATATTGAATTGCCAGCTGTTATTCGATTAAAGTAATAGGATCCCGATACCACGTCTGTCTAAATCGTCTAAACTAGACCCCCGAGGACTCATTTTACTTTTAGCTATACAAATCCTTTGCTTTGTGAATATTTTACAAATATTTTTGTGATCGTCATTTTTGCAAAACTTTTCTAAAACTTTACTTATCGAGCCTACGACATGAGCAAGATACAATTAATAGTAATACCTCATTTCATTCTATACAGACAAATTTATAAATTTGTTTGACTTGAAAATTTTAAAAGAAGCCACCTCAATCATCGTAGTCGGCATTTAGTTTGAACAAAGCCAGTTCGTTTCTGCCCGTCGACCGGACAACTAATTTCACTGACTGTTTACCAATATCACATTGATGCTTGCTGCAGCACACACAACTCCGAATTAATGACTAATGACTAGAAAAGGGTCCGGCCAAGTTATTAAATTCTGCTGTGGTTTGCTTTTGGCACGCATTTTTTTGTCGTATTTGTTGCTCCATGCAGAATATAGATTATACAGTGTTTTGGTGGTATTCATTAGTGGCCGATCAAATTCATTAGTGGTCATAAATCAATATTATTTGGTCACTTATGATAGAGGTCTCAAATCTTAATATTTACCACCAGTATGTGCAGAAATTTGTTTTTATAATCTTTGCCTTCCTGAATTCTTCATTGGTTGCAGTTACTATAAGAACCTTCAATCTGGTATCGCCTTATTCCAAAAATCTCTTTTCAGTATTTCATTAAATAAAAATAAAACATAAAATCATTTGTCCCACATTACATTCCTAGTTATTATTTTAACATTTCTCATGCACAAAAGTTATTATTTTATTCACAGCTTATAATATTTCAAACTGATATCAATTGTTTTCTTACAGAGCTATGGCGGGTACACTCAGCAACACTTTTCTGTTCTTTATACTGGTAAGAGAATATTGCCTTCATCTTGAGATTAGAGGCAGTAGCTAGATTAGGGTCGTCAGAAATCTTTACGTTGCCAAGTTGGTAACATAACTTATAACATAAACTTAACTCTGACTCTGACTCTGACTCTGACTCTGACTCTGACTCTGACTCTGACTCTGACTCTGACTCTGACTCTGACTCTGACTCTGACTCTGACTCTGACTCTGACTCTGACTCTGACTCTGACTCTGACTCTGACTCTGACTCTGACTCTGACTCTGACTCTGACTCTGACTCTGACTCTGACTCTGACTCTGACTCTGACTCTGACTCTGACTCTGACTCTGACTCTGACTCTGACTCTGACTCTGACTCTGACTCTGACTCTGACTCTGACTCTGACTCTGACTCTGACTCTGACTCTGACTCTGACTCTGACTCTGACTCTGACTCTGACTCTGACTCTGACTCTGACTCTGACTCTGACTCTGACTCTGACTCTGACTCTGACTCTGACTCTGACTCTGACTCTGACTCTGACTCTGACTCTGACTCTGACTCTGACTCTGACTCTGACTCTGACTCTGACTCTGACTCTGACTCTGACTCTGACTCTGACTCTGACTCTGACTCTGACTCTGACTCTGACTCTGACTCTGACTCTGACTCTGACTCTGACTCTGACTCTGACTCTGACTCTGACTCTGACTCTGACTCTGACTCTGACTCTGACTCTGACTCTGACTCTGACTCTGACTCTGACTCTGACTCTGAACTGCGCAGGTGGGAGGTGTGTGGTGTAAAGGAGCAGGAGGAGGTAAAGGGGGAGGAAGAGGGAACATTCAGGTGGACAGCCCTAAAACCGAGGTTATAGATATCGGAGCTAGCGGTAGTGTCAAGAACATGGGAAAACTTGCCAGTAGGTTGCTATAACAGTGGTGCAAATTAACCATATTTTTTCTGCAGTTTTAAACGTTACAGTTTTCGAGATATCGACTTTCGAGGTTGAAATACGTTTTGTATCTAAGTGTCTAGTTTCATGGTTTATACTTTTATACTGCTATCATGTCGGCATTAATATTAAGTAGTAGAAAGCCTTTTTATGACCTTTATATTTTTACTTCATTCCACCAATAATTTTATTTTATGCGTGCTTTGCTGAACAATAATGAATAAACTAAAAATAGTCAGTATAAGTATATTAATATAGCTATGTATATGATATCATCTTGTTAAAACGTCATGATTCAGTGACAACAGGTATATAACTACTATATGATATCATATACTTATAGCATAACTACTACTATATTTACTTAGATAACAGCTATATCATTACAATAATAACCTGATAATGATAGTAAATTCAAAAATTCTGGTTGCGTGAGAAGTTAAAAACGTAGGCCTTTATAATAGATAAATTATGATATTTTACCGACAGAATCATTTGTGTTGTTCAGATTGATCGAGCATGGATGATCATTCGTCATTGATCATGTCATTAGAGTGTAAGTATAAGTTTTATCTGTGGTTAGCTCCATTTTTCAGATTACAGCAGAGTCAAGTTCTTCTTGTGTTTGCAAAATGTCAGTTCTATAGAACAGAATAAACAGCGTCAGATCTTTTCAAATTAAGTTATTAGAAATTGATTAATCATAATATTCTTAAATCTTTGCTCACAAACTTTCCCATGAAATTAAGGTTACTTATCATCACTCTCTAAAAAGTTAAGATAAAGATAAGCTCCCATTACCAATCGCCCTGAAATAGTAAATATACAATAACTTCTCCTCGAGTCCTGTCTTCACTATATACATCCCCTCTTTGAAATGGTGTCGGCATGGTGACTCATTAAAGATTCTTGATTTAATCCGAGCACAAAAAATTCTTCGAACTTTTCACACCTCTTCAAACCTGTCTGGACACGTCTTAACTAACATTTAACGTTTAACTTGTCTGAGATTTTTGGAGCTCCTGATAGGATTACACTAACAGGAGCACACGATTTCAAACCACCGTACACATCCTACTGTGCTCTGATTGGTTAGTTTGTGTCACGTGGCGTGAATACTGTGTTTTGATTGGCTGCATTTACGCACAATTTCAAACCACCGTACACATGAAACTCCAAGCTCCCCTAGACCACAACTGGTTGATATACGGTCCTATCCTGGTCTGCATCTGCCTCATCACACTCTGTATGATGTACGATAAGATCTACCGCTGCTACCTCTCCAACCAGGTTTGTGAGATCGTCCTTATCATTGTGACTATTTATTGTGGCTAATTAAAGACTAACTTAACACTAATTTAAGACTAATTTCGGTTAATTTAATAATAATTTGAGACGAATTTGAGGTTAATTTAACACTAATTACTTAAGACTGATTTAAGACTAATTTAAGAATAATTTTGTATCTGGTGATGATTCGTGGTTTTGCTTTAAAATCGAGCTTGTTCTGCCAACAAGAGATCAACAGGATGAAAAACCAACAAATAAAAGCGAATTATGTTAAATTACGAATAATGAAATTGAATTTTGTGCATTATTTTTCAGGATATGGGGGAGAAAGAAGGGGGTGACGTGCCTACCCTGGTGATTGAAAGTGCTCCAAGCAAGCAACAACTCCTAGCCTCTAATCGGAAGCCAAATCTGGATAATTTCCGAATGATGGAACAAACAAACGGAAAGCTGACGGGTTCTGATCAGATGGGGTCTATAGGATATTCTGATACAGAGAGAGCTGAAGCAACCCGGAAACTAGGAGAGAAGCTCCACGAATCAGCAGGTCAGTACTGGATCAGTGATCACCATAGATATAATGACGAGATACAAACAGACGGGATCAGGCTTAACGATCACAATATATATTCTCATGATCCACAGCGTCAGGGTCTGACTTCTCACTCCAACACCTTTACTATCGGAACACAGTCTGGAACGTTACATTTGAGAACAGAAAGCCCCGATCAACCCTTGCATTTGGACTTGGAGGCCATTAGGACCGAAACTTTAAATCTGGGGTCTGATACTCAGGCGAGATTGAAGTTACAATCCGAATTGGAAGTTCCACGGGCAGGTGGAAAGTTTGACACGATGGAGAGTCAACGGATGAATGGCAGACAGAATGACAGAATGAGAAGTGAAACTGAACGCAGTGAAACAGCTCGCAGTTATAAAAGTGAAAGGAGTGGTGGGAGAATAGAAAAAGGTGCAAAGTTAAGAATGGGAGAGTCGGAGATCAGTGGAAATCTGTATCACTTATTGCCCTCAGAAGACCAGTCCACTGGATAAAGTTACATTAGATCGAACATTCCAGAGGTTAATTCAACGTTTGTAGCTACTTCTGAGGAAAGTAATGTGTACTCTAGTGCTATGTGAATTAATTGCTACTAAATTTAGCGGATGTTGTCTAATTAAACTTTGACTGCAGTCGTAGAACGTCAACAGTTCCAGTGCAATATGAATAAAGGGTCAGTTGAAACCATGACGACGCGACCAATCAGTGCTTGTAAGAGTGAACTGATGACCTCCAGAATTTATTATTGAGTATTATTATGAAACTGTATTCCTGTTAATCAATTTAAAGATAACAAATTAAATTACCTGTTTTAACAATTTAATAAATTCCCTTTTTTAATTCATAGATATTTGGTAATTATTGATAAGTGTGATCTCAGAAAAAACCCAAATCTGTTCGCTTACATCATGAAATAATCACGAGAAGCGTTAACTGTGGCATTCAAACAACCATTTACCGTCTAGCCTACGCCCACTGCAGCATCTACACCCTGACCCATCATCTCCAAAATGTAGCCTTCTGCAACTTACTTCTGTGGAATTGAAGCTCCATGCTTGTGAAAAATTATTAAATAATGTATTAAAATTTAATAAGTACAAGTGTTTGAGACAAAGGAGTCAGAAAGTTACCCAAGCGGTCTTAACATCAAACAACTAACCCGGGCATATGACATGCAACTACAATGAAACTAAAATATTCCATTCACATCCGGTTGAACGCTTGTTTTCAGACCCATAACGTTATTCTGTTCCGCTTGCCTGGTCAGTTTATCGCATACCGGAGAAAGTCTTTCATTGTCTCTAATTCAGCTCCTGTCACGAGAAATGTGAAAAAATAAAACTTATTCCCAGTTTGAGTCGTACAAGGGCGGGGACTGGCGAATATTTTAGTATTATGATGAGCATTTAGTCTAGTCCTTTAAATCTTTAAATGATCCACATAAAACAACTGTGATTCTTAAATTCTGTAAAGGATATATGTTCCTGCCAAATTGCTGTGGTCACATCAATGAGTTACAACTTTGAACTTAATTACGATGGTTCCAAGATCGTCCATTCTCTAACCCGATCTCTTATTCAAGTGGTTCTGTTCAGGAACCGTGGTTCTGTCCAGGAACCGCAATTTTCTTCAGGAACCGTATTTTGCTTCAGGAACCGTGGTTTTCTTCGGGAACGGTGATCCTCTTCGGAAACGGTGGTCCTCTTCGGAAACGGTGGTCCTCTTCGGGAACCATAGTTTTCTTCAGGAAGCGTAGTTATTTTCGGGAAACATGGTTCTTTTCAGGAATCAATAACCATGGTAATTCTCGTCGGGAACCATGGATCTGTCCAGGAACCGTCGTTGCATAAAGAATGTAACACAAATAAATGTTGGTTCTGTATTCTGATTCACAGATGATACCTGTATGATGAATTTCCCGATGATTTGTTCGCACTTAAAAACACAAAATTTGTGATTCTTCTGTGTTGAACTTATTGTTTCATGTCGATCATATATAATATATACATTATTTCGACTTTCAAGTGTCAAGTTATTATTTAAACGTGCGAATGCGCTATTGCAAATGCGCTATTTGCACGTGCAAAGAAGTATTTTGAAGTCAATATTTTGAGTCTCACTCTCAGGAAGGTGCTACAAAATAAATCTTTGCTGCAGTGAGCTACACTAATAATGAGCTTTATGAAAATACAAAGCATCACACTATACTACTGCTATGCCATGTATCATTGATACACGTTCGCGCGCGAAAGGAGGTATACACGTGTGTATATATATATACATTAATGCCATCATTTGATACAGTATATATACACGCTGCACAGGGTAGAGTGTGCAACGATAAACGAGTCCAATACAATTCTTGGCACACGTTTTGGTAGGTTATATAATAATGTTAACGGGTGATACTCGTAAAATACCTGTTCCATATATGGACCGTCGACGAGTCCAACTCGGCGCGCATTTTGGTAGGTTGTAAACCTACAAATAATAATGCAGTATAAAACTACAAAAATATTTGCCCTATTATATATATTTTGTAGGTTTATAACCTACCAAAACGCGCGCCAAGTTGGACTCGTTGGCACGCGGCCTATGTCAATTCGAAGCCTGATGTTTAGTTTTTTGAATTTCAATTTATATTAAATTTACTTTAAATTTAGATGACGCGTTCACAGGAGGGGCTAAGTGCAAAGAAACTGCTGCTCACTGCTGCTCACTGCTGCTCACTGCTGCTCACTGCTTCTCACTGCTACTAACTGCTGCTCACTGCTGCTCACTGCTGCTCACTGCTGATCACTGCTTATCACTGCTGCTCACTGCTGCTCACTGCTGCTATGGGCGCGCGCGCGACAGCAGCAGTGATCTGAGCAGCACTCGTGCGCGGCGGGTCATACAACGTATAACACTATGACGAGTCATTTTTCCGAATCTCTATCATATGATTATGAACATAAATATAATAGTCTGAGGTCCTCAGGTAATAATTATATCAATCTCGAAGGTTTGACATCGTCAATCAAACTCTAAATGTACAAATTTACCATGGTAAATTGTATTTGCTCTAACCAGAGCCCTCTCGCTTGCAGTAGCGCGCGACCGCCGTAGGCGGCAAAAGATCCTACTTGTGAAACAAGCGCGTCACGCAGTACGCGTAGGCACATGGCTATGTGAAGGTGATACTCGTAAAATATTTGTTTCAAATATTAGGACTGTCAACGAGTCCAACTCGGTGCGTGTCTTAGTACGTAGGTTATGAACCTATAACGCAGCTCTTTGAGGCCTAATAGTGCATTTTGCTGATCTACTGTGGTTGCGAGAAAATGCGCGGCGCGGCTCATACCAAGAGTGTTTCTTATTGTTTATGTATTATAAATAAATACCAAAAGACTTGGTTTTTGTTTTAAAAAAATTGTTATTAATGAATACCAAAATTTAAAACTTTTTTTTCTAAAAGAATTTGTTTTCCTATATCATATTTTATATGAGCTTGTTGAGCTTATTCACCTAACCATGTGCTTTTGCGGACGGCAGGCGCGAGCTACTGCAAGCGGCAGCAAGCGCAAGGGCTCTGGATTGTGGATAGAGCAAGCTGAGTCTGATCCACTGTAAACAATATTTGTTTAGAATAAGATAGTATTTTAATTTTGTGCTAACTTGATTCACGATGTCAATCCTTCGCAGCTCGGTGAGGCACAGTGGTGCATCTCGCCGATCTACCGAAGGTTGCGAGAAGCATTATTTGATGCGCGCGCGACCCAGTAGTGCATCGCGCTACAAATGCTAACGTACGTCGCGTTACGTTTACAAATATTTTTGAAAAGAAGTAAGTTCAATAAGTAAATATTGAGTCATTTATCGACGGATATTATGTATTACTCGTCTAAATTTCTTCATAGTAGCGCGCGCCGATTTCAGCTTTCTTCTCGAGGCAGGTGCATGCTTCGAAGTAGCGCGGGCTGGGCTAGTCCATTAACAATGGACAAGTCACGTACAACAGATTACAGAAATAAAATATTTCAGATAGTCTGCAGTTCTTGCATGTCTCAGTTCATATCCATCTGCTGTTGGGCCTGTTCCTAATTTCCCAAGGATGCATATCGAAATCATAAAGTTACAGTACACATTCAAATATATTTGCACTCGGCAGTGTTTAAAAAGTGTCCCCTTTTAATATTGATCATGTACTAAAATTAACTTTCAAAAGTTTTGGTTTTGTGTCAAGGCCTCGAAAACCGAAACAGCGTTGCTCCAAGTTTCATTCTTAAGCTTGTTAATTGCAAATATGGGGGTCCATCTTTTTCCTCAAAATAAGCCGTACTTTATTTTAATTTCAACTCAAACATTTTGATAGAAGTAACCTCTTAACATTCACATATTCTGTTTGATGATTTTTTCATCTAAAAGCTCAAAGACAAATGAAGCTGTTGTGAGACACTATGAATGACCAACCACCATTCGAAAGGCACGACCTTTTCCCAAACTATGTGTACAAAGACATTGTAGTACCTCCCTTTTGCACTCCTGAAAGATATGCTGCACTTCACACAAAAGCTTTCACTCCCCGCATGGATGACATCGTGGTGTCCACGTTCGCTAAAAGTGGTACTACTTGGTTGCAAAACATTTTGTATTATCTAGTAGGCTGTCCTAATGGACCAATAGTTCGTTTAAATGAAACGGTGCCTTGGTTACAGGGTGAATCGGTGAAGTTGGACCATATTGAGAAGATGAAGAGCCCAAGGGTGTTCAAGACTCATGATTATTGGAGTTGGATGCCCAAGAAATTAAGGGAGACTGCTCGCTTTATTTACTGCTCTAGAAACCCTAAAGATCAAGTCGTTTTTTATTTTCATCATATGAAAACCCTAAAATCCTTCTATGGAGACAAATGTGCTGACATGACATTTGACGAATATTTTAGCCAAATCTATATTTAGAAAGACGTGACAGAATTCGGACTTTGGGAAGATCACAATATTGAATGGTTAGAGCAGTCTTTGAGAAAGAACATTTTGTATTTGACCTATGAAGATCTCAAAGAAAATACTGAGAGGGAGATAAGAAAAATAGCAGAGTTTCTTAGTCTTTCTGTGTCTGAAGAATGTATTGCTAATACTCTAAAGAAAAGTGGATTCAAGCATATGCAAAATAGTGAAAATGTGAACTACTCTTGGCTTACTGGCTTAAAATCAGGATTCCTACGTAAGGGTGAAGTTGGTGGATGGGTTGAATACTTGAATGAAGAGCAATCTGCTTACTTTGAAAATCCCATCGAACGAGTTATTCAAGCTGGTGGTCATGTTAGGTGTAATTTATAAGTCTTCAAATAACGAAAATAATGGGCACAATTGAAAATATCTTGTCTAAACAATGATTTACATTCTAGTCATAGTTGTCACTATTTGAATTATGCGCACCCAATGGACATTAATACAATATTCATATTCTTTAATGTCAATGTTTTTAAATTTTTCATAATGTCAGTATAATTTCGTACCTGTGTGAAAGTGTTATGTTGAGCAGCTGCCATCTAAATTCTATTGAAATTTGAAATAGCAAGCCTTATATTGTTTATAATTACTTTCAAGTCTTACATCAGGCTGACACTAAGGTGCAGCAATTTTCAATATTAATAAGGTCTTAGTAGCATAATGACTAAATACAGCATAAGGGTAGAATGAAGATTATTTATTCGCTGTGCTTTGTGCTGTATATAAAGTGCATTAATTCACTATTATTTTCTGCTCTTATCCCTTATTATTAATGTTTTCTTATTATGGCTTAATCCAAAGCATTCTAATGAAATATCTAAGTTATTGTAAAATCCAGGTTTCTTAACATATATTGTGCTGTTTAGATATTAAAATATGTATAGTTTATTGTGATATGATAGGTTCAGATCATGATAGATGACATGAAATCAAATGAAATAATGTACTTAAAATATACCACCCATATGGACAGCAACTCCCTAGTATGCCAGGAACTAACCATGATAAAGCGGTTCTAAAGAGTGAGGTGAAAATATTCAGACTTGACCGAATCTTCAATCACTTCTGTTGTAACATAATTTACTTGAATAATAAACTTAATATTTCAGGATCATGTATTATGTGTTATGTATCCTCCACACATTATTATATAGCACAATATATGCTGCAGGTAACTATTTTCTATCGATGTTGTGAATCAAAAAATAGGTGTTTATTAGTTTATTAGGAACCTGATAACTATAACATTGGGTTTTATAGATAATTTTGCTTGAAATCCCAAAATAATCAAAATAATAATATGTTCATTATTTCAGAATACAAAGTCTTTGATGAGTCAGGATTAGCAATTGGATCATTTCAGTACCAAACAAAAATTGTTAAAAGAGACATAGTAAGTTTGGTCAGGTTATATTAAAATAAGGTTTTGATGGAAAGACACAGTGAGCTTTTTCAGAGATTGGTATATTTAAGTGATGATGACAAGTTTTAATAATGTTATTTTTGAATAGTATAATAATAATAGGTCTCAAATTAATCAGTCCTATCATCACAGGTGAAACCAGGAACAAAAACAATAGTTGCTCAAGATAACCACACATATTACAACTCTAAAGTATTCACAAATAGTAGTGCCTGGGTTGAATTAGACCCTGAGATTTCACAGCTTAACAAAGAAACACTGCACGATGGTCTTTCTAGTACCTTCAGATATGCTTATGTAAGTTAATTTCTTTGTGATTTATTCATTATTATCAATATAATAAACGTTGGAGTTGATTCTCAAACAGATCTGTGATACAGATGACGTGATTTATGTATTATGTATCATATTACTTCATGCAATAAGCAATAGGCTGCTTAATCAATTTAACATTACTACAACATTTTATTCCAAAATGGTCCTGGTTTATTAGTAACTCAATAACAATCTGTTTTCGCTCTTTTGACTGGGTCGATCTGAATATGTTTTGGGACCAAGTGAGAGTCTCCGCTCAGTTTTTCAAACAAACAGTTGTCGACGTTTCGGCCTCACTTGGTACCAGAAAATCAATTATTAGTAACTTGTAAGCAATAATCTCTACTTTTATCTAGCAGCTTTACAAAACTACGTTTTGTAAGTTTACTAACTACTAACAGTAATTAATATTTCAGAATATACGACTTCCATTTTCTTTTCCATTTTACGGTATCCCCCTAACTTCAATAATTAATATTTCAGAATATACGACTTCCATTTTCTTTTCCATTTTACGGTATTCCCCTAACTTCCATCACACCCACCACTGGAGGTGAGAATTCATTAATTCAATCCGTTATTAATTCACCCTTAACATATGATACTATTCCATACCCTCTTAGGTTGTATTCTAGATCATACTTGCGGTACTTATAACGTAAATCTTTGTCCTTTGTGGAACAGTTGAAATTGTACGACAAAGGACGAAGACATAAGTACAAATTTTTTTAAAGACATATTTAAAATGTTAACCTTCCGTAACCTCCAACTATTGTATGCTATTTTAAGCCTAAAATCGCACAAAATGTCACGTTTACATCCCACAATTCCCAGGTTTCATATTTGTGGGCGAGCTGATCCACAACCAGCTCACAGCTACGCAGTACATCGCCCCGCTCATGGCAGAGTTTAACCCCTCTCTTAGCAACGACTCTCACGTGTTTTATCACATCTCAGGTGAGAAGAGTTGCCTTCAGTTAGATGTTTAAATGTTAACAACCGTTCACAACAACATTCATGAAGAGTGAAGAGGTTTGGGTGTCAAAATCTCTTCAAATTTGTGTACAAAATGTGGAAGTGGTTTTGTTTTCTCACTGCATATACATCAACAACTATCACTACATTGATTTACATACCAAACAGTCAGTTTGAGATCGTATTTAATTTTTCTCTCACGTGTCAGCTACAATAAGCCACAAGAGCTGCACTGTAATCATATTATACAGTACTAGAAAGCCCCTGGTCACCGTTACTATTCAGCCTTTAATTCTCATCCAATTTGTACGTGGTGGTCATAAAATAAGAAGACACCTGCGCCTTGGAATTATAATCAAAATATATAATATATAATATATATATTATATAGTACATTATGTAGTAATTTAACACCTGTTAACTTTATTACCTGTTATCTTCACCAGTTCACCTAGAATCTGGACGTGCTCACAATGAATAGGGACAATGATACACTGTGTAGTCCAGTCTAAACGATTAGTGCTCTGTAACTGTGCGGTTACCATAGCTACAGTTTTACTTTACTACAACTCGTCATTGTTAAATAGCTCTCCAGAGAGCCCGTAATATTAAACAGAGAAGATCTAGTAGCGTGTAATATGGTGATTCGTGGTATTAGTAACTTGTTTATATATTCAACCCTCGATCGAATCTAGATAATATGTGCACTGTGATACGAACAGAGCTTTAATAGTTGTTCAAAGAGAGCGACCTGGGTTAATAAAGAGCAACTAGTCGTAACTTCTATTTTTCAAGTTCCAGCTACCACCAGGTGTACAACTTGTAAACACTACTAGATATTATAACATTCTATATTATAAAGGAGCAAACTGTGTGTAAAAGTGTAAACCAATCGTAAGAGTTGTCTACAACTTCCTATAATGCTGCTGCTGTGTTTTGTTCAAGCAAAACAATTGTTTAATAGAAGCAGCGTGTAACATGTCATTCTCTGTTACACGCTCTTCAACTGATCACAAAGTGGTATTTATTATATTTCATTTTCTAAAGTAATTCTATAAAAAAATAATAAATCTTATATAATTTAACTGCCACTTTAAACACTGTCCGTTCTCTTTCCTCTTCTTCTTCTTCTTCTTCTCGTTCTCTTCTTCTCTTTATGTCCATGCTATTGAGAGATTGCATTTGAAGGAAGTGTGCTTCACTAAAATACACACTACACAGTGCTCCATAGTGCTAAATGAGAGCGCTACTACAACACTTGAAGAGTGTAGCTTCAGTTCATTGTCCAATGTCCATTATACAGTGTATCCCCTCTCCTACTCTCCTAGAAACCACCTATACTACTATATTATATAGTATATACTACTCTATCCAGTGTTGTCCTCTAATGGCCCTATTACTCCATTACCTGTCATTAGCTCTACATACCACCTCATTAACAGTCACGTGCACAACACGTGGGCAGCACGTGGGCAACACTGGATCAGGGACTGGTACACTGACTAGGAGCACACGGAAACATTATGTTAGAAGCAGCTGAGCAGTGTTAACCTATACACTATACAGTATACAGTATACTAGTACACTAATATATACTAGTACTATAATAGAGTATAGCTAGACCTGCTAGAGTGATGCTATTTTAGAAAGCTGAGAGCTGACAAAGTTGAGGTTAGGTAAATTTAGGTGAGGTTAAGTGAGATTAATTGAGGTTTAGTGAGTTTAATTGAGTTAAGGCTAGCTTAGGTGGGCTTTAATATTTAAAACACTCCATATTCTTCAACACATCACAATCTGTGTACAGAATGATTCCCTCCCAGTAAAGATGAGTAAAGTAAGAGTCTCAGCAGTAAATAGCACACAGACAATACTATTAGCGGGAGTAGACATACAATACCTTGAGATTGGTAGATGTAAATACAGTGCCCTGCTATATAACATACAATACCTTGAGATTGGTAGATGTAAATACAGTGCCCTGCTATATAACATACAATACCTTGAGATGGTAGATGTAAATACAGTGCCCTGCTATATAACATACAATACCTTGAGATTGGTAGATGTAAATACAGTGCCCTGCTATATAACATACAATACCTTGAGATTGGTAGATGTAAATACAGTGCCCTGCTATATAACATACAATACCTTGAGATTGGTAGATGTAAATACAGTGCCCTGCTATATAACATACAATACCTTGAGATGGTAGATGTAAATACAGTGCCCTGCTATATAACATACAATACCTTGAGATGGTAGATGTAAATACAGTGCCCTGCTATATAACATACAATACCTTGAGATTGGTAGATGTAAATACAGTGCCCTGCTATATAACATACAATACCTTGAGATTGGTAGATGTAAATACAGTGCCCTGCTATATAACATACAATACCTTGAGATTGGTAGATGTAAATACAGTGCCCTGCTATATAACATACAATACCTTGAGATTGGTAGATGTAAATACAGTGCCCTGCTATATAACATACAATACCTTAAGATTGGGGGGGGGGGTGTAACCCAAAAAAACCCAACTCCTACCCAAGAAAAGGTAATACTGGGATTGGGTTTTTTTGGGTTTTTTTGGGTTTTTTAAACAAAATTTAAACAAAATTCTAGCCATTTCATTAATTGTATTGAATGTGAATTATTTCCCACTGAGTCTTACCTACGTGTTGTTCTCATGTCTTAACTTAATAGATAGTTTACATAGTATATAAGTGTGTTTATATTGATAGTATGTTATCACGATAGCAAACAGGATGTCTCGTTCATCGAGATATAATCCATATGAATGCACAAAGTGGAAATGTGCCAAATGTGGCAAATGTGTTCTCCTGTCATGGAAGGAGGCTATGACGAAGGTCAAGGCAAGTCAAAGCACATGACTTAAATTACTTGACTTAAGGCGGCTTCAGAGTCCGACTCTCGATGATGCGATGTGTCTCCAAAGCTTTCTGTCCGCCATAAGCTCCTTAATCTCCCCAGTGTTCTTGAGTCCAGTGTCACTTATTAGGTTATCGACGAAGGTGAGCGGTGGTCTACCCCTCCCTAGGTTCCCAAAGGAGAAGTTGGTGTGCTGCCAGGTCATCATGTCGCTGGATGTGCCCAGCCAACCTCATTCTTCTGGCCTGTATCTTCGAAATAACTCTTGGGAGTAATCCAAAGACCTCCTTATTGGTGCGATGTCCTCTCCAGTCCACGTTTAGGGCCATCTGAAGCATTCTACTGTAACATCCGTCTATTCTTTTCTTCAAAGATTCTGTTATTGTCCACGTTTTCGTTCCATACAGGAAGATTGATTCAACCATAGCTTGAACAGACGGATCTTTAAATCTCGGCGCAAATTGGACAACCATATAGCCTACATTTTGTGGTAGGCAGCCCATGCCTTGGCCTTGCGTAACCTAAAGTCGTGCTCCGTTGTACTAAAATCCTCAACTTCTTCTAAGGCATGTCCGTCCTTAGAAATTATTGTGTGTGGCTCCTCTCCTACTAAATTAACTGTAAGATCCTTGGTTTTAGACAAAAGAGATTTCCTGCCTCCTCATCAGATGAGGCTTCTGTAGGACTGTAGCATGTGATGACAGTGAGCCTGGGCTTTCCATTAAGAGAAATGGTGAGGATCCTTGCGCTGTAAGATTTTATAACTTTATAAGACTTATAGCCTCATATGCTGTCCTCTTCAAGATGATTCCTACTCTCCCATTAGAAGCGCCAGCTGCGTTTCTCCACGCAGATGAGATCACTGGATGAATCCCTTTGTCCATCTTTTCTATTCTGGTATTCTCAGCAATCAGCATGCACTACCCGATGTTCGATTCTTGCAGGGCAAGGATGTGCAGCTTGCTTCGAGAAAATAGTTCTTCAAGTTCGATGCGTTTGTGCTGTTCTTTGGCTGTTCTTATGTTAAACGTGCCAACCTGAGCAGCCCTTTTACATGATACAATGCAATTGATGTTCATATTTTTTTGATGTTTTCTTGTTTGACTTTCTGTAGAAATAGGTTGTCGTGTTGTGGAGACCGAGTCATCAGCTTCTGTAATAGCAGCGTAATTACCCCGGCAACCACTTCCACTAGAAAAATAAGGGGCTTTAACCCTTGGCCTTAAGCTGTTGATAAACTTCATCTTGACTTTTCAGTTGGCTCACAATCCTGTGCAGTCCCCTGCACATTCACACATTGGCAGTGGATTGTGTTCTTAACTCTTGCGCCACTAAAAGGTTAAGGGCATCCGCTTGAACAATAGCCATATTTAACTCTCACCATAATATCTTGGGTATCTTGAGCATGTAATTGCACGAACATATTCTATACAAGACAAATGTGACACTTCCTTTTTCTACCCAACAGCATCAGTTGTAATCCTTACCCAATCGTCACCTGCTCCAGTGTGGGACTTTTTATCCCAAAGCATAAAGAGGTTAGAGTGAGAACAGAGCTACACTTTAGCGGGGACTAACCCTTCCCCTGACTAGACTACCTCGTTACCCGGTACCCCGGGCATAGGGAGCCGTATCCTGACTACCAGAGTGTAGTCCAGTCTAGCTGGGTCATAGTAGACTAGGTTGAACAGGGTAACAGCCAACACCTCTTTAGCTACTGTGCAATCCACAGTAAAGATTTACGAGTCTCAAAGCTTCTTGTAGACCAAGAGTTAAGGAGTCAATAGATCAAATTATTGAACTTCCAGGGCTCAATGTCTCCCGTCGACCGTCCTGCCTTTAGCCTGGACCCCCTGTCCAGTATCCAGTCTTCACCACGCGGAGGTAGTGGCTTTCATCATGCTGTCCGATGAGTGTCTGGAAGAGGGCACCAGCAGGATACCCCTTTTCTAAGTTCGGGAGCCTCACATCAGACCAGGGCTTCCACCCAGCTTCTATCCAGCGGTGACGCCTTGGGCCACCTAAGCTTCACACAACCATTGAAAGACCACCTGCCTACGTCTGTAAAAATTTTGATGATGCGA